ACCATGTACGGAGCCCCGTGGGGCCTTTTTTTTTGCTTTTTCCACCGCGTGCAACCCGGGTGGTGTCCTGCGGTCCTGCGGGCCACTCTTTGCACGAACCACGCACCACATTAGTGAGTGCAGAAGTAGCGACACACAGACAGCACATACATGTGGCGAGCGGTCTGCTGCTGCAGCTGCAACTGGGTGTTGGTATGGATAGATTCCTCCCATCTACCGGCGGTCCATCTGATGCCGCCGAAAAAAGAGTCGTGCATGACCTCGTCCCTCACCGAGGGCGAGATTGTCTATCGCTTGGAGGACGTTCGATCCTACAGATATCGCCCGCAGTAGAGAAACGTCAAAATCGGTTCGAGCCTCACCAATCCCTTCTTTTGGGTCGAAGTACCGGACCAAGTCGTCCATTTCGTAAGTGGCATTTCTCCTTCCTTTGGACTGTCGCATCCTCCCGATTCTCTTATTATATCTTAGACTACACGTTTTCGTTTTTTTCTGTCTATTGTTGATTGATCGCTGAGGATAATCCACATTATCAAGCCCTCAAGAGCGGTGGTGGAGAGTGCCATCAAACCCGTACAACAGCGAAGAGCATATGGTTGTCCGCGATGTGGGCAGTACAGTACTGTGAACAGCAGGGGCGCGGGGGGGCGGGGGGGGGGGACTCTGCCCCCTACAAAAAAATGCACTTCTGTTCAGCTTTTTTTGGTTGGGAGGAGGTTGGGAGCACCGCAGAGTTCTGATATCATGGGGGTATCGCACCATCACGTTTCTTATTGGGGCGTTTCATACGTTGTGGCCAAGATAGAGCCATGTTTCTTAGCCCTTTTTGCTCATCATTTATTTTTCGTAAAAAGTCGAGCCTTTTTTCTTGCAGAGTTTTTTCTTGTCAAGTTGACTGCGGGCGCTATAATAAATCTATCCGTACTTGTACGCGAGCGAAGGGAAGGGAGGGGTGGCGAGTACCGTGAGACGCAGTAGTACCTTATTTATTTCGAAGAAGACCGTTCATTCGTTATTATTCATGAAACTCAATAACATGTTAGTGACAATAGAAATATGTCCTACATATTAATATGTTGTTGACTTCGTATTGGTTTAATATTCATGTAGAGTATGAGACATTAATTCAGTGAAAGTTTTCTGATGAGGTACATCTATCTGCAATTAATTGTCGGAAGGCAAAAAAAAATAAAAAATGAGATAAATATATGTGTTTACACTTGATCCCGTCGCTGACGTTAGCTTTTTCCTCGTCTTTGCTTTATTCTGTTTTATTTTGTCTTTTGTTTTGTTTTTTACTGGCACCTACCCCCGCCCCTTCCTTTGGCCGTCGACCTGCCTCCATGTAGTGGGAGGCTACCCCCCCAGGCTGGTGGTGCGGCCGTTCCACTAGTCTAATTATTTATTTTATTTTATTTTATTTGTTTCTGATTATATTTTGTTTTCTTGTATTTTATCGCTCTGCTGACCCTTGGGGTCCATTTTATTTTGGTATACCTTTTCTAGGTACGTTAGCCTGTGACCACGGAAATTGGCCGAGTCAAGTGATGGATTAGTACGGAGAGATTGAGACAGAAGGAGGTACTGGATAGAGAGACCGGGATGGTTTTTAATGTGAAGACAACAACAACAACAACACTTGAACAACTTCCTCCTTCTTCCTCCGCTGCCGGCTATCTATCTATTACCATTATCTATTTGGTCAAGAACAAACTGGCGTACTGTATGTAGTTGTTTTGAACATGTCCCCGACTGACTGCTGTTTGTTGTTGTTGTACATCTCATTTCAAGTATTACTCTATTGTAAATATGTTCGACGTCAACAAACGGTTGCCAGCCGTCTCAGCGATGCTGACTTTTCGTACCACCCCCTTCCTTACTTAGCAAAAGACGCGTAGTTTGAGGTATTATAGCGTGCCTCCACTGGCCCCGGGGATGGTGAGCTATCGTCCCCTGAATTTCAGGGACGCAACCCCGCTTTAAGGACCCTTTTTTTGCAGGAAAAACCATGTGCGTCCTTAAAGCGGGGTACTTGAGTCTAGGAGGTGATCCTGCAACGCGCTTTACCTGTGAAAATTTTCGCTGCTCTCACACAACGAGAGACGGTGACAGAGCGCGACTCGGGAGAGAACTCCTGATTACTGCTGTACCGTCGTACCGTCAATAGTCAACACCTCGCCGCCAGGACACACAACAAAAAAAAGACGTGGACGCTGACAGCAGTAGCACGGCCGGTAATCTCGCGTGGGTTTCCTGTGCTCTTGGTCTGCAGTTTTCGCGTTGTACATTCCGCGTGCACACGGAGGCGCGCACCGTTGGCCCAGTATCGTCCGGTGGCCGCTCGATCAACAACAGCAGCACGCTCGCTGCTCTAAGGGACGCGCTTGGCCAGGTTATAGTGCTGCTGCGCTGAAGATATCTCTCTTCGTCTCGGATCGGGGACTGCTGAGACCCAAAGGCAGGTCTGAGGTCTGAGGCCTGAGCTGCAAGACCTGAGCTGCTGGACCAGCGGGAAAACATTCTCGCGTACCATAGGTGCTATCGAAAAACATGTCGGGATTTGAAATCTCCAACGAGAGGGATGAGCTTCTGCCGAAGCAGCAACAGCAGCAGCGGGGATACAGCGGAGAGGATGGGGCAGAGCAGCGGCGGCGGCAGCGGCGGCGGTGGGGGCGTGACAGCAATTGCGAAGGAATTCAGCGACAACAACCGAGCTGTAGACCGCCTGCGGTGCTATTTCGAGCGGCGGTGGCCGGTGGCAGCTTGTTGATCTCTGCTACTCTCTTTCGTAGCCTTGTGGGAGCCCCTAACTCTTCCCGAGAAGAGCCGGGGGCGGCGGGTGGCAGCAGCCTGGCTGCCGAATCCGCAGCGGCGACATCGCCACAGCAGCAGTTCTTCCAGGACGAAACTGCTGAACGGAGGGACAAGTATTATTTGCCTGTTGATCGAGAAGCAAAAACGGCTGTAGAAGTACCAACCTTGGAGGTGACAACCAACGTGGGCGACAGCAGCAGTGGTGGTGACGCTGAGGAGGAGCAGCAACAACAGCCGAACGTGATATTTATCTTGATAGACGATGTCGGTACGAACGACATCGGGTACCAGAGCACGGATCTGTGGGAGCTGACACCGTTCATGGACTCTCTATCCTCCGAAGGGGTGCGTCTCACCAAGTACTACACGAACCAGCTCTGCACCCCCTCTCGGGTAAGCCGTCCTACGCTACACTTACTGCCGGAATTGCGGTGATGCCTTTTAGTATACAACGGTATATACTAACAGGAGTGTGCTCCCTCCTTCCTAATCTCGACCCAGTTCGTCGTGCCGCCGTTCGTTGAATTTTCATCTCTCAACCAAAGTCCGATATCGATCGATCAATGTGTTCACCTCGTAAAGCACCGGGTGATTGATCGAAAGGGCATGGACGCATGGATATAACTGTCGTTGTAGTACATGTGCTGCGAGACGACCGTATCCATGACGCCACGCGTACGGATGATGGTTGGTTGTCGGTGCAGGATAGACAAATCCAAGATACGCGTCGTATAAGGGTCGACCTAAACAGGCCAAAAAAAAACTGCGAAACCTGCGATCACAGGTTTTACCTGCGAATAT